TATTTAAAAAAATGGTATCATAACTTTTATTATATTAAAACTTTTAAGCAATCGGCTATTTGTCGCAAAGAATAAACACTTTTGAATAATTTCTTGTCACTTTGCTCCATTTTTTTCGTTCTTCTTTGTTTTTAATTGCACCAAACTTTGACGTCACTGATTTCAATATTAGACGTAAAAATCGAAAGTGTTTTAAAGAACATATTTTTTACGACCCTGCAATTAAATAGTACTGTCATAAAATGATAAAACCTAGCCCCTTTTGTCACGTTTTTGTTAAGTGCGGGTTCAAAAACGCCGGTCAAAACTATGCCGAATGTTTCTTTGAAAACATTTTTATTTTATTTGCTTTTCTATCCATTTAAAATCAAATATGAAACTATTCAGTCCTTGAGGATTTGGATCATAAAGTATTTGAGTCTTTGAGACTGATATTTTCTTGGGATTTAATTGTGACTTATTAAATGACACCTTAAAAGTTTCATTAAACCCAGTTTTAAGCAATAATAACAGTTTTTGTTTCCTGTCACCCGCTATGTAACAAAATGTCTAGATTTCGGCCAGTTACTTGATAACTTTGGTGTTGTTGCCATAGAAACCATAGCCATGTAAGAGACCATGTTTTTCAAGTCTGCATGATCATGGTACCTTGGGCTCCATAACTTTGACCAGTTCCGACTTTGGACGTTTGGAATCTAGGTGAAAAATTGCCGCCTACCCAATGACATATTATTTATTTATCATTGTGTCTACTATATTTACAAACAAAAAGATGTAAAAAAGAAGACACGTAAGAAAAAACATTTATTTGTTATTTGCCTATTTCATCATCATCATCAGCCTATTGCAGTCCACTGCTGGACATAGGCCTCTCCCTATTTTTTATTTATTAAATATAAAATTTTTAAGAAGAATAAAAAATGTGTTTATAATTATTTATATGAAGTGAATGGTTATTACTATGTAAATTATTTATTTAGTTAAATTAGTAGACAAAATATTATGTTAATTGTTTGTAATTTACTTTATTAAAGATGCTTATAATTACGAAAAAAAATACGTTTGAAAAAATACATTCCCATAGACTATTTCTTGTCTTTTTTTTTCATTTTTAATTGAAAATTAATCTTATCAAATTCGTTCATAGTTGACTATTTTTATTAATTCAATCCATTGAATGAATGTAATAAATATAAAATACACTACTACACAGCTGCTCATGATACTACGAGTACAATTGTGTATAAGTAATTAAAGCATACATAATATTAGCATATGAATAGAAGATACCCTCGTTGATAGCCATTGTCCGGCCTGGACATCGTTTTTTTTTTAAATTAATCAGAAATATAACGAATGGTTAAATTTAAGCCCGCTCTAAAAGCATAACTAGTGCTAAGTTAAAAACCTCGTATGAAGAAGCCGCAACAGGTCGTTTACCCATTTCGACATATTCCTAAAATCCTATTAATACATATTCGTTTAAATCATCTAAAGTAATGTTTTTTTATTATGAAATATATTTAGTGCAAAATAACACTTCCAACTTACTTCTAACTCATTACGAAATCTTTTGGTGTTTATTCGGCCACTGTTTTCAATTTTAAATTCTTTCTTTCCCTAAGTGGAGCAATCGATTCCTGCCGGATCCTGTGCTGCATACAATTAACCACCCTCATTTAAGTCTGGTCAATGACAGCCTGTTTTAATCAATAACTTCTTTTTTGCGCGCGGCGTCCTTGGTTTTTTTCCCCGGCGCGACTTTTTCTGCGCGCATTTCGTTTATTATGTGTCAATCGCCCGCGGTTTTTTCATTATGAACCACGCGCCTAATGCTCCTTACCTCGTTTTCATTAAATCTGCAAAAAGCTCAGCAAAAAAGGCAAAAGCTTGCCCAAAAAATTGTCTACCGAACAGTTTCTCGTATCGCCGGTCTTGTAGCCATTTTAATTATTATTTAATACCAAGGGACGAGCACGTGGCGACGCGCGCCATCTCTCTCCTACTATGGAGGCTGTATGGCGCCCGCCGCATGCCATCCCCTTCACACCGTGCCCACTTACACACATAAAAATCGTGAATAATAAAAAAATGTGTACACATTTTTTTCGCTTAACCACCGCTTGAGTGTGTGCGTGCGGCCTCACGCCGCTAGAGCGAGACGTCATTAGACGACAGAGGAGCGCAGACTAATCCCCACTCCAATTTTTTAAGCTCCGTTGTCGATGTTAGCGTCCGTGTGATTTTTTTCATTTTTATGTGTTAGTGTACCCCTCGCGCGGTGTAGTTCACTTTTTCTACTATAGATCTGAATTTCAGTCTCGTTTTTGCCGCGTCGGTCTAAAGGCGGACGAGCGATCGCTTTGTATTGCATTTTGTGATGCGAGTAGCCGATGGTGGCTCGTAGTATTTATCCGAGAAACATTGCGTCTGGAGAGGCCGGCTTTTTGTACACACCACATGTCGTCTTAAGAAGTCCTCACACTATCGCTACTGCAGGCTAGTGCACGCGCGAATCACCTAGTGCGAAAGGGACGGAAAGCTCCATCACGTGTGGATAAACCAAAACTATAATAATTTATATAGCACACTAAAATATTGAGCACAAAAAATCTGGTAATTTGGATCCTAGTAACGACGGCCGGCATTCATAATTTTACCGCAGGGTCAAGAGCACGGCTCGGCATTTTTTTCTATTGCCGGCATTTTTTAAATGTTTATTTGCAAGGAGCACGTGGATTTTTTGAGTAATTTTGGCGATAAAGCCTTGGACTGTTGCCTTTCGGACGTGTTGTGACGTTAGTGTTACCGGTATCATGTGATATATTTTTAGTGACATTTAATTTAGGAACAAACTGTGATTTAATATGGTGATATAGTTGGTGATTGTGAAGATTTTTGGATAACGAAAGGTAATTAATTTTCTGTTTTTAATTTGGAAGTAGGTTCGCTGTTATTTTCTTAGAATGGGTGGGGGAGTATTCTCCTGTCGAGGGGAGAGGTTTTTACGTAAGATCCCTCCCGGCTGAGGTGGATGTTGTAATTGTGAGTCGGTCGGTCGCCGTCTGTCAAAGCTGACCTTGAATAATGCCCGGACTATAAATACGGAAATATTTTTGGACACTCTACCGTGACGTTATTTTCAAATTAACTTGATTTGCGATCTGTTCTTTGTTTGAAAACATACGGTTTGTCAATATTGTAAAAGTTTTTTGTTACTATTTTTTTTTTAGAAAAGCTAACCTACTTCCAATTGTAGTTTATTTTTATATCGTAAACTTAAAGTTTAAAATGTTGCTTATAAATAAATAAATAAAAAAAATTATTTAATAGTTTTGTAAATTAACAATTATAAATTTACAAGCAAAGAATATTAAGAAACTTTATAAAAAAATGTAATCTCGTTTGGTCTGTTATTCTTTAACATTCATTTTTAAAATTATCAGAGATTTTTATTGAAAAAAAAAATAGTTTCTCGAAATTGACCACTGGCTCGTTTATTCCGCAATACGTGCAATGGGTCACCTCAGAAATATTTTTTACACAACTTGTTTATTAGAAACGGTTTATCGAAGATAATTACTTTTTGTCAACCAACCTTGTATCTCACGCTTCAGTAGCTACAAAATCTCCTATAACGGCCCCTGTCTCGCAAACGTACATTTTAGGAGTCAATTATGAAAAAAGCTTGTCAAGACGTTTTTTATAAGATGAAAAAATGTACTTGATAATCGCAAAAAATCCGAGAGCACATTTTTTTGTCATACATACATATAATAATTTATTGATTGTTATCATTTAACAAGTTCTTTAATTAAAAAAAAAACAAAGTATGCGTATGTCGAGAAACTGTTGAATTATGTTGTATTCCTTTATGACCTTATAAAAAAGTCACGGAGCCTGTCAACAGAAGTGCAAACTTACCTAGCCCTGTAACGGCAAAAATTACAAGCATGTAATGTAGAACAATATTTTCAAAATTTAAAAATGAAACATTCGAAATTCAAATAACTAAGGAACTTGCTTTGCATAGAATTCGGACAACATAACTAAATAGAACATAACAAAAACCTAATTACTCTCTTCGAACCGCTTCCCGGGTCCAAACTAGTAATACAAATCTTGGGACCGATCAAGCGTGAGGCCTTCTATATACATCGTCAAGTGCCACAGTCTACATAAACAACTAAAACACCAAAATAGACTTTTTCCATATGTAAATAGAATCTATTCTTGCACGCAGGTAGTTGAACGTAACCGCAAAACTTTTGTTGTTTTATTTTCTATACCTGCAATTACAGCTTTGACAGCCGTGTATGTTGGTATCTACGGGTACAGGCGATGTCATAATAAAATAATAGCAATTTCACTTATAGAATTTGTTTAAAAACTTAAGTTGATATTCGAAGAAATTAATTTGTCATTTGCAAAGAAAACTTTAAAAAAGGAAGTAAAAGTAAATTAAAACGCATTGAAATATGCAAATGAGAATAACATATCTTAGGATTTGTCAAAAACAATTCGAACATCAACTAAAGATTAGTTGTCGGAGATAAAAAATATAATTAAGTAAGCGCACATGTTGTAGGCACGTCTGTACAATGTGATTATCGAAGCCTTATTCGTTGCGGCATGTGGGCTAGAGGCATAGACGCTAGATCATTGACACAACCTACGCGCCAACTCGTCACCTGCTAACTAAAAAAACCGCCATCTTTTTTTACACGTCGTAAATCTATAATAAACAGACAAACGGTTACAGTAATCGATTTAAAAAATACTCCAATATATTTCTAAACATAGCAACATTTTGAACTTAATAATATTAATTAAAAGGATGTAAATGAATATTTATTTTTACAGCCTAATGAAAACGGAAGATCTCGGAATAATTCCATGACACTAATATCAAAGGAAACATAAGACACATATTTTTATAAGTGCCAAATAACAAGAGACAGTTTATACAAATTAGATAGCATATTATTAATATAGCAAAAATGATGGAAGGAAGGACGATTGACTATAGGCCTGATGGTGGTGGTTTAGATTATCACAATTCGCCGTTGATGGCTGAGATACCAGTAGACAATTATTCTCATATACATAGAAGCATAGAGCATTTAAGATCAATAGGAGTGCCTCCGCCTATAGACCATCACAGGCACTTAGCGACGAATCTAGCTGATCTGAGAAGATACGAGCATCCAGATGAGATGCCCGAAATAAAACCGTCCGTGCTAAGACTATCTGAATTCAAAAGTGGATTGCAAGATATGAGAATTCAGAATGATCAAGAAAACGAAGTCCAGAGACAACTTACGCCTCACGATGAAGGACCAAAAGGATACAGTGCTCCGTCGACGCCCCTCTCCGAAAATGGTGGACATTCCATCCAGGAAGAAAAGGTTAGATGTCTTATAAGTTTTTTTTTAATAGAATTTTTACTTGTGTTTAATTCAAATAGCTATGATGGAACTAATAAGAAATAGATTGGAACTAATTGTACTAGTGTGCATTTTGTATTTAAAAACTGACAGAAGCCACCTTGAAAATTTCGGAAGTCTACAACTGTTTGACGTCAGTTGATTTGAAGCATTGTTCGTTCGTTACAACATCACGATGCAACGGTTCCGCGTTCGTCCATTAATCCTCAGATGATACCTATTATAACCTTTTGTTAATATGAACTATTATGTTCTTATATTCGTGATGGTAACATTGTTATCACAGTATTATTGCTCAATTATGTATATAAGCAACAAGTATTTGGTTTAATAATTGAATTTAAATTGCAAAGAAACATTTTTATATGACTGAAGAATACGAATAGTCTTATAAGAATGTACAAAATTCAAGTTTCGTATTTATTTTTAAGAGATACAATTTATTCGTACAATCTTTGGTAACAGAAGTCGACGGGTAAGAATATTCGTCAACTTAACCCGTTTTGAAGAAATTTTACGTATGGTGGACCAATTCTTGAGGAAGAATATGGGTTACTTAACATTAACATAAAGCTGTTGACTTTAGAAGCACAACCCATTTATAGCAGAAAAATAACTTATTAAGTACAATTCAATGGAAGATTAAAGCTTGTAAAGTGTACTTGATAAGAAAAATCTTTTCAAATAATAAAAATGAATATAGGAAACATTGTAGACGAAAAATATTTTTATTGCAAAATCTAAGTACCTACTCACTTAAATGATAGCCAAATAAGATGATTGCGATACTCAATACAAAAATATATTGTTTATTTTGTTAATTTTATCATTTCCTTGTTTCATCAACACAGTGTGCCGACCTCTGACTGCGTATGATAAATAAACTAAATTTTTACCTAAACTCTTTAAGGAAACATAAAGTTTATTTCCTAATTGTAAAAGTATTTTTAATTAAAATTTGGTTTTTAAAACAAAAGATATTCAAATTTTAAGTTTTATATTTATGAATTTAAAATAAAGGAAAATGTGAAAATTATAATTCAAATAGCTTATTGAAAATATAAATTTATGAATATTTAAACAATAATATTAGTATGTATAATTAATTATGTTATAAGTTTTAACTGTTACTTTGTTTTAACAACAGTAACTTTCATATGGGTACAATTTTTTAATTACGTAATGCAATTTAGTTAAAAATAAGTAGGTACCTATTACGGTAAAAAAACAGATTACGACCACATTCAGATGATGAGCGTTAATAATGCGTGAAACGCACGTAATTAGTAACATAGGTTTATTGGGTTTTTGTGTACCTTCTCTCTTGAATAATATTTTCGGACATCTGTCACACAACACCATCTAGTTTCAAACTAAACAGAGCTTGTACTATGAAAGTTAGATTGACTGATAGAGTACTTTTATACTAATATATAAACAATATTCAATATGGTTCTATTTAGCTTTAAAATATGAGTACGTTGGGATGGGAAAATGCATGTATTTGTAGGAGAGATGTTAAACTTGCGTTTCGATAAGTTTCATTAAGGTACGTCAACAAGTATGAACCGTCTAGGCGTCCATATGCTAAGGCGTTTAGATGCGAAGTGTTAGCACTACCAAATTCCAACGCACGCTCTGCGCGCGTTTAACGCCAGTCATATGAAAGCACTTTAACTTCAAACAAACTAATCAACTTATAAATATTATATTATAAGAACTTTGTTGCTTAGTAACGCAGTTAACGTTACTTACATTTTAAATAAGTTATAACCAATAATCAAGCTGACGGAAAAATCACAGGTGTTTTTTCATTAATTCATTTGCTTCCTCTAAGTACGTATTAAAATTTGCCAAATGAGAACCGCACATCAGTACGGTTGAACCTTGTCTATTGCCAAGGCCGACATAAAGGCTGCTATACACGTTACTATTATTTGTATTATTTAATCATGTAATTACTTAAATGTTCAACTCGTTTTAATGAATTTGTTATTCACTTATTATATTTGCCGGAACGATATTAAAGTTTGATATCGTTTTTTGTTTTTGTTATTTTATGACGGTGCTTAAGCTGTGCATGTTTTTCGCGACTGGCCTGTTGATTTAGTGGTTAGTTATTTTGACTGCTGCGTCAGGTTTCGTGGTTCGATTCGATTCCCAACTAGGTTAAATAATTGTGTCATTACGATCATTAGTTCACTGTCTGGTTTTTTTTTTTAAACTAGCTTTTGCCAGCGACTCCGCCGTGTACCTATGTCGGTTATCGCGCTAATAGTAGCCTGTGTTCTTCCCCACGAATTAAACGTTCTCCAAATTTCATTTTAAATAGGTATAGCGGTTATTGATTTCCATTACAAATTTACAACCCGTTCCCTGCCCAAAGGAGATTTTTTGAGATAAAACCAGCCTATGTCCTTACCCGGAACTCAAACTAGCTTTACTCCAAATTGCATCTAAATTGTTCCAGCGGTTTAAGCGTGAATAGGTAACAGACAGACAGACATACTTTCGCATTTATAATATCATTATGGATATAGAAGTTTGTTTGTCAGTATACTTGATATCATAGTACAGGGTTTGACTAGTTTAGGATCAGACAGATATAAGTGAGGTCTGTTAAGAGGACTCACACTTTTTTATAAATAATAATATTTATAAAAAGTGTGATCTTTCTCATCAAACTAATTTCGGTGACGTAATACAGTACCTATCTAAGATAAGTTACCTACAATAGTCATATTTCTACTTAAAAAATCAATTAATACCGCCCGTTATAAATTTAACATTCTGATAAAACTTGACCCGGTAGATAAATGAACAAGGACATAGATAACAGACCCTTATATAAGTCCTAAATGTATGCAATCTTCATCATTTACACTATCGAGTAACAGAATTCCTAATTCCTCAATTTAAAATCTATAGTTCCATTAAAATTTTATTTGTTGCACTAATCGCTGGAACTAGATAGGCTATTTATCGAAGATTAACATAGGTAATAAAACATGACGCATTGATTGACGGAAATTGTGGAGAACGACTAGTATTTTTAGTTCTAAAAATAATGTTACTTAAATGTTTTTTATAGAAAGATCGAGTTTTGACTTGATAACAACCTCTTGAATTAACTTTCCTGTATAGATATATAAGTAATATTACTGGTTTATGTTTAAAAAGTTTTCATTTAACAGTCCCCGGTGACATGATTGATAAGAAAATTAATTCCAACGACCTACTTGAACGTGAATACTGCTATTTAAAAGACGAATTTGCGAGTAAAATCTGGTTGGAATACAACAACTAGATTTTGCTCGCAAATTCGTTTGCGTAAAATATTGTTCCAACTCTTTCTTGATTACACTTGATACCCTCCTTCCTCTACTGTATACCTGGCACCGTCTATGCTAAATTTCTTTAGTTCATAAAATAGGAACTAATAAACATTATACTTTTGTAAATGTACTGTCTCCTAAATAAAAATATACGCGTACATACAACATTATGTCTTAACTTCAAAATAATCTGTAAAGAAATATAAAAGATTATCACCAAATGAACGTTCAATTTTTGAATATACTTCATCATCATCATTATCAACAGCCTTTAATAGTCCACTGCTGGACATAAGCCTCTCCTTAGAAAGAAGGTGTTGGCCTACTATACCACGCTGGCCAGACAGGTCGGTATTGGGTTTGTGTCAAGTTTTCCTTCTCTCTGCAGTGATGTTTCTGTGTCGATACTTAGTGACAAAATATTGCGAAATTGTATTTCCTAACAAAACGCATTTCGTGTTAAAGAGGTTACTTAGAATAACATTTAGAAGCGTTTCCTATCACGTTTACTTACTTTATCAGTAAGATAGCGTTAACAAAAAAATCCCGTTTTTTTTCAAGGTTCTATTTATTCTGTGGGATTAACGACTCCATTTAAATATGGTACATTCCTAGTTTTAAACATAAATTTAATTTGCCTGAATCATTAATAATTATCGTTCACATCTCACACACGGAAGTCTGAGGCCCAAGTATGAGTTTATTTCACATCGACTCGCTCACGACTGCAAGCGCGTTTGGCGTTGGTGATTGGTGGAGATTTTGGTGCGGACCAATCACATCGCCGCACGTGATCACCGTGACGATGGAATAGAAGTAAAGTAAACTCACACTAGGGTCTCTGATCCCAAACTAGGCAGAGCCTATACCACGGTATCTAGACTGCTGGTAAACATACTTATATACATCTAAATACATATATATAATAGATAAATCGAACATGTTAAAGTACAGCCTGAATTGTTCTCCGTTATCATCAATTTTTTGTTTTTATTGTTTTGAAGTCTTCAAATCAATATTAAATGTAAGTGTTTTGACGATAGCCAGACTTCAACGTCATAGTATTTCATACAAATACAAACCGCGTCTATCGTTTTGACGTTTAATAAATGGATACTAATTTGACTAGACAGTCATCTACCCAATTGGAAGTGCTTGAATAAATCTTCCATTTTCTTTTAATATAATTATGTAGCTAGATACTAACTTTTGCCCGCGTTTCCACCCGCGTGTATGTCTGTTATCGCGGTAAGTACCCTACTTAGCCGCTGATAATGTAGCTTGCCTTTGGTGAAAGAATTTTGGAAATCGTTTTAGCGGTTTAGACGTGAAATCGTAACAAACAAACCCACTTTCACATTTATATTAATAGTATGGAAATGTAAAACTACACATCTCGCCCACATGGTTACTAAATCAATAATATTCTGATGTCACCTTTAAATTTGCAAATTTATACTCAATGTCACGAAAATATATAACATTGTTATTTATAAAATCTTCTAGATCACACTGTTTATCGGCAACGTCTGACCCCGAAATCGTTTTATTTTTATTTCAAAGAAAAAATTGACTCTCAATTTCCAATTCAACCTTCAAAAATGGATTACCACAGTTTTTAAATCAGTATTGAGATTCAATTTGATGACTTTCCCGTTAAAGTATTATTGTATTAATCTGTTCGAAGTTCAATTCTGTTTATTATCAACC